TGGCTGCATAAAATTCCATTGTGTATAGATACCACATTTTCTTAATCCATTCACCAGTGCTGGGGCATCTTGGCTGTTTCCATAACTTGGCTATTGTGAATAGTGCTGCAATAAACATGGATGTGCAGGTGCCTCTGGAGTAACAGTCTTTTGGGTATATCCTCAAGAGTGGTATTGCTGGATCAAATGGTAGATCGATGTCCAGCTTTTTAAGTAGCCTCCAAATTTTTTTCCAGAGTGGTTGTACTAGTCTACATTCCCACCAACAGTGTAAGAGGGTTCCTTTTTTCCCGCATCCTCGCCAACACCTGTTGTTGGTGGTGTTGCTGATGATGGCTATTCTAACAGGGGTGAGGTGGAATCTTAGTGTGGTTTTAATTTGCATTTCCTTTATTGCTAGAGATGGTGAGCATTTTTTCATGTGTTTTCTGGCCATTTGAATTTCTTCTTTTGAGAAAGTTCTGTTTAGTTCACATGCCCATTTCTTTATTGGTTCATTAGTTTTGGGAGAATTTAGTTTTTTAAGTTCCCTGTATATTCTGGTTATCAGTCCTTTGTCTGATGTATAATTGGCAAATATTTTCTCCCACTCTGTGGGTGTTCTCTTCAGTTTAGAGACCATTTCTTTTGATGAACAGAAGCTTTTTAGTTTTATGAGGTCCCATTTATCTATGCTATCTCTTAGTTGCTGTGCTGCTGGGGTTTCATTGAGAAAGTTCTTACCTATACCTACTAACTCCAGAGTATTTCCTACTCTTTCTTGTATCAACTTAAGAGTTTGGGGTCTGATATTAAGATCCTTGATCCATTTTGAGTTAATCTTGTGTACCTAGATTTTTGTCTGAAAGTTTTTTTGGTGGTACTGGGGTTTTGAACTCAGGGCCTCTCAATTGCTAGGAACGCACTCTACCACTTGAGTCACTCTACCAGCCCTTTTATTACGTTGGGTATTTTCGAGATGGGGTCTTTTGAACTATTTGTCAAGGCTGGCCTTACACTTTGATCCTCCTGATCTCTGCCTCCTGAATAAATAGGATTGCAGGCATGAGCCACTGATGCCTATCAAGAGAGCATCCTTTTTTTTGCCTGGACCAGTGCTGGAGTTTTCATTGTGGTTTTTGACAAAGTCTCTTCCTTTAATTCGTTCTTCAGTAAGATCTGCCTGTTCCAGAGAATGGAATCCCCTCCCTCTGAGCCTCCTCAGGGAAGGGGTCCCCTTTTGTATGGTGTCCTAGTTGATTTTGGGTTTTTCTCTCCTTCATGGATCATAGTTCTTGAGTAGTGGCCAATGGTGAGTGGCAGGAGACCTGGCACTTCCTGCTCTTCTGGGCTAGGTTGAGAAATGGCTATTAGCCCTTTGCTGTTAGGAGCGGGTGGGGAACTGTGTGTAGGTCTCTCTGACATGAAGGTAACCCTCTCCCCACTTTAGCAGCTCCACTTCCAATGAGGACTCTAAGCAAGACAATACAGCCCTTCAGGGGATTCTTAGTTAAGGATATTTTTTTATTTTGCATCAAGTGGGTGGGGGAATCTCTTTTTCTATTTTTCCCAGAAACCTTACTGGGTTCCTTATGTACATGGTACAAAAATTCTTCTTCATTTTCTTTTGTTTTTTGACAGAGGGTCTCACTGTGTAGCCAGGCAGGCTGGAACTTTCAATCCTCTATGCTGGAGCAAGAACCATGAGATTCTGATCTTTGCTCCAGGACTCGGGCTGCTTCCTAGTTTAGGTGGTGGTTAATTACACAAGGGCAGCTGGCACCAGGCTATAGTGGACACGGAATGTGCTGTCTGGAGGAAGGGCTACCTTTAGATAATTTGCACAACGACACTTTACTATTGTTAGACAAGTATCTCCAGGACTGCACTGCACTGGAGGGCACCTTTCACACCAAAGCACTGCCTGTGCCTGCCCTTATGGCCTGAGGGCTTTCTTCCCTCTTGGGAGGCTGTCCCTTGGCTCTCTCCTGGCAGCAAGGCGGGCTATTTCTGGCACTGTCCTCTTCTCTCAGGTGCCCCCACCCAGCAGCTGTGATGCTCAAAGAAGGTGCTGAGAATGGAGTGGGAGTGGAAGTTTGCCCTCAAGTGCCATCAACTAGGCATTCGGTAAATAAAAACACTAGTTATTTTAAATTTCCCTCCTAGACTTTTACTGTATTTTTAAAAGTAGGAAGAGACAGTAAAACAAAAGAAGCAGAAAATAATTCTCAAATCTTACCATCCAGAAGCAATGTAATTCTATGCATCATTCTAACCTCTAAAATCTAAAAGTATTTTAAATAGTAAATATATGTACAGGGCACAGGATTCAAAATGTATAGAAGGAATCCATTCTCTTTCTCTCATCCAGTCTACCCCCTTCCCTTTTTTAGACAGGACCTTGCTAAGTAGCTCAGGCTGGACTCCAACTTGTGATCTTCTTGCCTTAGCCTCCTATATGCTGGGATTACAGGTGTGTACCATGATGCACGGCTCCAGGTCCCTTCTTCAAAGACGTGCTCTATTGCCAGGGATAACTTTTATATTTGCTTAAGCACATGGATGTTGAAAGATAATTTTCCCTAACACCTGTTGCATTCTCTAACACCGTTCTCCATCTTGTTTTTGTCATATGACTAAGAGATCTTTGTATATCAATGAATTGCCTAATTAAAAAATAGTTTTATCATATTTTATTCTATTGGTTCACTCACAATTTATTTAATCCTCAATTGAGAGACATTTACACCAATTCAATATTTACTATTAGATGCAGTGTTTCGGCCAGATGCAGTGGCTTATACCCGTAATCCTAGCTACTCTGGAGGTGGAGATTAGGAAGGTCGAAGTCTGAGACTAGCCTGGGAAAAATGTTTGAGAGACACTATCTCAACCAACAGAAGTTGGGTATGGCGATGCATGCCTGTCATCCCTCCTACATGGGAAGTGTGACTAGGAGGATTGTGGTCAAGCCAGCCAGGGTATAAAGTGAGACTCTATCTAAAAAATAACTAAAGTAAAAAGAACTACGGGCATGGCTGAAGTGGCAGAGTACCTGCCTAGTGAGTGCAAGGCCATCAATTCAAACCCCAGTATGCTAAAAAATTGTGTTTCAATGTCCATCCTTGACATACCTCTTTAGGCATGTGGAGTAAATCTATACTGTAAATTAGTAGAAGTGCAAATACTGGATCAAGCATAATTTTTCTAGAACTTGCTCAGTTGCTCTGCATAGAGGCTGTGCAATTTGTATGGCTACCAGCAGCATATAAACAGTTGGCTTTTCTTCAATGAATCAGGTTTTTTACATATGTGAGATCATACCAGCTATATACATTTTTTTAGCTTCACATTATATAAAAAGTATTTCTCACATCAAAACTGTTCATATACAACAACAAATAAATCTCTTATGATTATAAATGCCCATTGTTGAGAGATGACCTTGCTAGTTAGTATTTACCTTTTGGACACATATCTTTATTTATATACCTGTGTGTGTTACATTTGTGTATGTATATTCACTTAACAAAAATGGGGTATTATTCCTAATCTGCTTTAAAGATTTCAACATATTATGAACATTTTTCCTGTTACCAAATATGATTGTATAACTGGACTTTTCCCTTCTGCTAGTATAAGTGATACTATTATAATCTTTGTATGTGTAATTCTGATTTTCTAAACATTTTCTCAGATATTTCAAAAGCTCTTAATACATACTAGAGAATTGCTGTTGGGAAAGGCTGTGTCAATGTCTGTCTGACTAATAGCAGGGTAGACGTCTACCTGTGCCAGACATTCAAGCCAGTGTTAATAGCTTGCTTTGTGGTCACACTTTCCTATGAAGGCTGTTAGGAGCCACTGACAAACTGACAAAGTGGAGAAATCATACAACTAGGTTTACATTTTCTATTCCAGCTTTAGGGCCTAATAGCTTTGTCAGTTTCATGTGGTCCTAGGAGGCATTCAAGAAAATGGTGACATAAGCAGGTGGCACAAGTTTGGGTGGAGAGACTAAACAAGCAGGTCTCTAACCTGTTGTGACGGAGAAAGCAGAGGGTACTCACTGGGCAATGCATACCAACATCTCTGTCGCAGGACTTTTATTTATGCTAGGCCCTCTGCCTAACCCTTACTTATTCTTTCTCAGAAGAACAATAACAGCAAATCTTTTTTGGTGCTGCGAGCAAGACTCTTTGCTATTCACCTTAATGCATTCACTTTGTCAGTTCTCGCCATTTTGGCTTTTTTTTCAGTACTGGGGTTTGAACTCAGGGCCTTGTGCTTTCTAGGCAAGCACTCAACACTTGAGCCATGGCTCCAGCTTCAGTTCTCTCCAATTTGAAGATGTAAGAACTGAAACAGAAAAAGGCTTGGCACCTTGCCTGTAATGATGTTGGTCACTTTGACATGAAACCACAGTCACAAGTGTGTCTCTTCATCAGTGAGATCCCTTGCCACTTAGCTGGAGTCTCAGAGTAGCTTCCAAGTTAGACCTCTTAGAGAACTTTTGCTTATAGAACAATTTGAAGATATGGGAGTTTCTGAGTGTTTAAAAAATGATTCCAGGGCCAGGCACAGGTGGCTCATGCCTATAATCCTAGCTACTCAGGAGGCAGAGATCAGGAGGATCAAGGTCTGAAGCCAACATGGACAAACAGTTCACAAGACCCTATAATGAAAACACCCATCACAGCTGGCGGAGTGGCTCCAGTGGTCAGAGTGCCTGCTTAGCAAGCAGAAGGCCCTGAGTACCAGTACTACCACCACCAAAAACAAAAACAGAAAAGAAAAACCCGTCATAAACAAGGGCTGGCTGAATGGCTCAAGGTGAAGACCTTGAGTTCAAGCCCCAGTACTGCAAAAAACCCCAAAAAACCAAAAACCAAAACAAACAAAAAAAAACCTGATTCCAGGGCTAGTGGTGTGGCTCAAGTGGTAGAGCACCTGCCTAAGCAAGTGTGAGGCCCTGAGTTCAAACCCAAGTGCCGTCAAAAAAAAAATTACAGATTCCTCTTCCTTTTTCCTGCTTCTCCCAAAAGACTGAGAGCTTGTAAGTTCCTTGAGGGAGGACCCACGTAATCATCTCTGTATGTATCAGTGCCCACCATGGTGATAAAGCATGGTCTCCCTTGATTCAAGTTCTGATAAGCAGGGACAAAGAAAAATCGAAGGAATTATAGTTGAGATAATTGAATAAAGACTTATATTGTGTGTATATGTTTTTGGGAACCTGTGCTCTGGTTTGGGTGTTCCCCCTGGAATTCACGTGTAGAGATTTGGTCCTTAATGCATTAGTGCTGAGAGACTGTACTTTTGGTAAGTGACTGGATCATTGGTGGATTAGTGGGTTGGAGTAGGGGTGGCTTTGTCTCACCATGTTGAACCCTTGCCTTATACGATAAAGAAAGAAGCTGTCACCAACTGGTGAGCAGATGCCAGCCACTACCATGCTCTTGGATGTCCCAGCTTCCAGAACTGTGAGCTAAATAAACCTCAATTCTTTATAAATTATCCAGTCTGTGGTATCCAGTTATAGCAAAAGAAACAGATTAACACAGCCTACTTTGGAAACAACATAAAAATCACATCTGCGAAGTGTTTTTAGAGCACCTTTACATTCATTTATGATAATAGCAGCCTGCCCAGGCTCTATCATTATGCAAATTCGTTTTCACAAGAACTTCAGAAGCTAGCACCTATTATTATCCTTGGGTTAGTTTATTTCTGGTCCTGTGGGGTCCCCCCATATGTCCTGGGCCCCTGATGAAGCCAAGTTTGGGTGACCCATGAGTGGGCCTACATGGCCTCCCTTCTACAGAGGCTGCTTAGCTGCATCTCCCCGGGCCATCTCTAAGCCAGGCCCCTGGTCTGTTTCTTCTCTTTGTTCCTTAGATCTGAAAACTCTTCAAGGCTTCAGAGAAATTGTAGTGAGTTGATTCTCATGTACCTGGAGAACAGAACGTAGAGGTGGCGGAACCAGAGGAGCTGGCTGCGGTGGCAGGACATAGCTTTCTAGAAGAATCAAAGAGGATCAGTAGATACTTGATCTGGAGCTGTTTCTGTTACTTTCAGATCTGCCCTCCTCACTGCCTTCTTCTCACTAATACACTTCATGTTATATATAGCTTTATCTGGCTTTTTCCCATAGCCCATGAAACTGTCTGGGTTGACCTCCCCTTCCCGCCTCCTTACTTCCCTATGTTTATGGCAGATGAGCTAGAGTACGTACAATCTACAAACATCATCTCAATATGAACATCCCTGTGGGTTAAGTACTATTGTTGATTGCTTTTCAAAAAAAAACCCAAAAAACAAAAAAAACCAACAAATAGATGAGGAAATCTACCAATCTCAAATAGCTAGTAGGTAGTGGAGAAGCGATTCAAACCCAGAGCCGTCTCATTGACTCTGGAGCCTACATTCTTAACATTTTGCTCCTGTACCTCACAAACAGGGGTGTTTTATGGGAAACAGGCTGCAACACTATGCTCAAACTCCTCTGAATTAGGTAAGACAGAAGGTATAATCACTATTAGAAGAAGGAGGAGGAGCAGTAGGAGGAGAAGCAGGAGGAGGAGGAGAGGGATGATACACAGGTATAGATTGTCCTTCCACCTAGTGGAGGAAATGAATATTATCTTGTTATTCAGCCCTAGTACAATTCTGTTTTTAAACAGATAATAGTAATTGATGTAACTATATATATATATATATAAAAGATTACTATTCTTGCCAGGTGTAGTGGCTTATACCTGTAATCCCAGCTACTCAGGAGGTGGAGATCAGGAGGATCATGGTTTGAGGCTAGCCTGAGCAAAAAGTGAGACCCTCCCCCCCAATCTCAGTCAATACAAAGCCGGGCATGGTGGTGCACACCTGTTATCCCAGCTACATGGGAAGAATAAACAAGAGGATTGCAGTGCAGGCTGGCCAGAGCATAAAGGTGAGACCCTATTTGAAAAATGACCAAAACAAAAAGGGATGATGGATTGGCTCAAGTGGTAGAACACCTACCTAGCAAGCATGAGGCCCTGAGTTCAAAACCCAATGCTGCCAAGAAAAAGAAAAGGTTGCTGTTTTTCTCTAAGTACAATAATTTGACTTTCTCTTTAAGTTAGTGTTATTGTAAACCTTTATGGAACTATTTATTATCAGAACATACATGACTTCAGCGATGTAAACATACCTGTGAATCAAGCTTGGATGGTAAAGGGACTTGAGGCACAACTATGCCCATAGAATGGTTCAGGCAAAATACTACACACTATTTTCCAACTAAAATTGTAAGTGAAATTTGTTATCAGAAACAAAAAGGATCCACTTGGAAGGCTGAGATCAGGTGGATTGCAGTTTGAGGCCAGCCAGGGCAAACAGCTCAAGAGACCCCATTTCCAAAATAACCAGAGCAAAGTGGACTGGAGGTGTGGCTCACGTGGTACAGTGCCTGCTTTGCAAGTGCAAAGCCCTGAGTTCAAACCCTAGTCTCACCAAAAATAAAAATAAGTAAAAGAAAGAAAAAGGGTATGTGAACTGAATATGTGAACTGAATAGTGTTAACATTCTGAAGCTCATAATAAAAATAAAATATTTAGAAAGACACTGGGAGAAGGGATGGCCTCTATAGTCCAGATCCACTTGACCTGTCTATAGTAGTTACCAAATTACAAAGGTTTTCCACATCAAGGTTCCCGAGTGGCCTATCTTGAGTCCCAAATCTTTTAATGACTTTTAACATTCATTCAACAAGAGGGACATTTATAGAAACTATTTATTGCCATTTTTTTTGCCAACTATATATATATATTTGTAATTACTTTTTGCTCAAATTTTCCAAGGGGATGGAAAAGAATCAAAATTATGTGTGTGTGCAGTTTTGTTTCTGTCTTCTCCCTTCTTTGGAGCATTTTCACTCCCAGGCATAAACGTGAGACCCTATCTGAAAAATAACTAAAGCAAAAAGGGCTGGGAGCATGGCTTATGTGGCAGAGTGTCTGCCTAGCAAGTACAGGGCCCTGAGTTCAATCTTTAGTTAAAAAAAAAAAAAAAAAAAAAAGAATACCAAAAGGAAATCTTTCTGAGAAGACTTCTGATATTTCTTGCTCTTTTTTTTGAAACAGGGCCTCACTACTTGACCCAGGATGGTCTCAAATCTCAAGATACTCCTGCTTCTGCCTCCCAAGTGCTGGGATTACAGGTATGAACCTCTATACCTGCACATTCATTAATCTTGCTTCATAGATAGGCCATAATAATTTACACATGTATTTCATTTAAACCTTCGTCAATGGACCTACCGTTTAATCTTTTCTACTTTGGTAGCAAATTGTTAGTTTTTATTTTCTTATCCTCAATTTTGCTGTTCCAACACAGTGAAGATGAGGCATAAATTCATGCTTCCTGTACAAATACTAGCTGTGACAGAAATAAGGAGAATACAAAAAAGATATCTCTGAGTCAAAACTAAGACTGATAGCACCATAAACCTCAGAACACAAACGCAGGTGTGAGTGGCCAAGTTGGAGGGCTCATTTACCAGGAACACCTTAGAGACTGGGGGTTCTGCTAGACAGATGACCCAAACTTGCAGCTTGAGGCCAGGAGCTCCCTACTCTATGGAAAGAAGCTGGGGAAAAAATGGTGCCTACTATGGTCGCCAGCTGTAGTGTACAGCAGGCTGAGTGTCTTGAGAACAGCACTGAGCCTTGTTACTGCTGGCTTAGTGAAGCACTGGAACCGTCACTGAAGACCTGACTGTAATCTTCGAGCAACTGCAAACTACCTGGACAGGGAAGGAAGCACGGAAGGAAAGGGGAATAAAGTTCTTCAATTCAGCAACTTCCCCCCTTAGTTTGCAAAGCAGACTTCCTGAAGATGTTAGTACTTTAACGCAAAGACAGAAAGCTAGCAAAATCTGCATTCAGACCATTACTATATCCTAAATGAAATCTGCTTTATAGAGCAGTGTGTCTAAGACTAGAAGAATTATGCCAGGATGTTCAAAAGCTAAGAAAATCAAATGGGCTATAAAAATAAACAGAAACACAACAATAAATGGATGGGAAATAAAAAATTAGAAAATCTGGATACAAAAATAAAAAGTAAAATAAAGAAAAAATTTAAAAGCACAATTAACAAACTATAAAGTGGGTTGGGTTGTGGTAAGAGTGTTTGCCTAGCAAGCACAATGCCCTGGGCTCCATCCCTAACACTGAAAAAGACATGCAAAGCATAGGTTATGAGGCCCCATATACACTTACTAGGGATTCTGGAGTGAGAATAGAGGGAATTTCACATAAGAGATGTGAGAAGAGGTAACTGGTGAGGACTTTTCAGAAGTGAAAGACATGGGTCTTCAGTTTGAGAGCACCGAGCAGCATCAATGTAAACTATTTTGCCCTAGACAAAATATAATTTAACTTCAGAACCCAGAAAAGTGGAGCAGTATTCAAAGTGAACACAAAAGGGAGATTAACTACCCACGAACAGGATTTAACTGATGTCATCAGAACAAATACTACCAAAGATGAAGGGAGATGCACTTTCAAAGATGCCAAAGGTAAGAAACTCAAACTCTCCTTTTGAGCTGAACTCATTCAAAAGACAGGACATTTAAACATTCAAAGCCCAAGAAAATGTGCCTTCCTCACCCTCTTACTAAAAAATTAACTCAGTGGTAGAGGACTCTCCTGGCATGCACAAGGCCCTGGGTTCCACCCCTATCGCCACAAAATAAAACAAATCCTAGCTACTAGAGAGGCAGAAATCAGGAGGATCTAGGTTCAAAGCCAACCCAGGCACGCAGTTTGGGAGACCCTACCTCGAAAATACCCATCACAAAAAAGGGCTGGTGGAGTGGCTCATGTGATACAGCGCCTGCCTAGCAAGCATGAAGTCCTGATTTCAAACCCCAGTACTGCCAATAAGTAAGCCAATAAATCAAAAAAACAAATTATTAAAGAATATTCATCTTGTAAATTAGTGCAACTGCTATGGAAAGCAATATGGAAGTCCCTCAAAGAACTAAAAATAGAATTATCATACAATCCAGAGATACTGCTCCTAGACATATATCAGAAAGAATGTGCTCCAGGATATGATAGAGCCACTTGTACACCCATGTTTATTGTAGCACCATTTACAATAGTCAAGCTTTGGAAGCAGCTCATATGCCCCACAACTAATGATTAAAAAATATGGTACACATATATACAATGGAGTTTTATTTAGTCATAAAGAAGAATGAAATTATGTTTTTGAATGGAAATAGAGAACATCATGTTAAGTAAGGTAAGCTCAAAAAATCAAAGATTGCATGTTTTCTCTCATATGTGAACCTGTAAGTTAAATGTATATATAGAAACATAAATGATTTTACACACACACATATATATATACACACACATATATATATATACACACACACACATATACATATACATATATATAATGACAGAGAACAAAATTGTATTAGTGAGTCCGAATGAGGGGCTATCGGAGGTGGGAGAGAGAAAGAAAATGTTAGAGAATGAAAAGTATGGAAACAACCCATTTATGTATGAATATAATGTAATACACTGTTCTGTAAGCTGCTGAATATTAGTGGAGCATGGTGATAGAGAATGAGTAAGTAATGGAGGGGAGGGGTTAATTTGATAAAAGCACGATACATACTGACCTGAAGTACCAAGGCGAAACCCTCTTGGACTATCAATATATACTTAGTTAAAAACAATGATGGGGCTGGTGGAGTGGCTCAAGTGGTAGAGTGCTTGCCTAGCACGTTTAAAGGCCTGAATTTAAACCCCAGTACCACCAAAAAAAAAAAAAAAAAGGGCAGAGGGAAAAATAATCTTTCCAGTGTTGGATATCAGTGGGAGGGGAGTTGGCACAAGGAAAGGGAGAATGAGAGTGCATATGGAGGATGTGTTTTATATCCATATATCAAAATAGAAGAATGAAACCTATTGAAATTGTTCTAGGCAGGAAGAGAGGAAGAGGGAGAATGATGGAAGGGGTAAATCCAAATAAGATATATTTTAAACACATACGTAAATATACAGTGTACCTCCCTATACAACTGTTATATGCTAATAAAATCATAAATTAAAAAAAAAGACAAAATTAATATTCATCAGCAAAAAGCAAGCCCAGAGGAAATGTGCGCGATACAGGCATGGTGGGGCACTAGGAATAGAGCACATGCCAGTCAGAATAGTCCAAGATGTAACAGTCGAGAAAAACTGACATTTACAGGTAAATGTGCATATTTCTTGTGCAAGTTAAGGGGCCCTTAGTTCAACCCCAGCAGCAGCAGCACCAACACACACAAAAAAAGCAAGCACAAAAACAGGGAAAAATGTGGCACTAAACATTCTATAGAAAGGGGCACTTTTTTTGTAGTGTAAGAGCTGAAACCAGAACACAGTACCATTTGGTTTAAATCTCCCTTAGCAGCATGCATGTGTGTATTGGGTGAGTAAAATTTTTTACTGTTTGGGGAATGAATGTGTCTGCGGATAACCACAAAAGCAAAGCTAGTATTAATTTTGGAGTTACAAATGAATTTTTGCAAGTAAGTGCACTCCCAAACATGGATCTGCAAACAATGGGGATCAATACAGGCTTGTAAACTCTCACATACACCCCAAAAGCCTCATGAATTGAAAGAAACAATGAAAACTACAGAGAGACATTTCAAAGGAAATTTATATGTATATACTATTGGTGGGACACGAGTTTTAACTCAGGGCTTGCCTGCCTTATATTTATTCAAATCACAACTCAGGTTATGTAGACTAGCCATCATCTTTAGTAACTTTTTTTTTTTTTTTTTGCAGTACTGGGGATTGAACCCAGGACGTCATGCATGCTAGGCAAACACTCAACCACTGAGCTACAGCCACAGCCCTAGAAACTCTCTCTACATCTCAGGTTAGGTGGAGTATGTCTTCTGAGATCTTTCTCTGTACTTTTCCTTGTGCTCTAGCTCTACTCATACCATGGCATGCTGAATATTGACTTATTTATTTATTTATTTATTTTTTGTGGGATTGGGATTTGAAATGAGGGCTTCGTGCTTGCAAAGCAGGCACTCTACCACTTGAGGCACACCTCTAATCTATTTTGCTCTGGTAATTTTTGGAGATGGGGGTCTCATGAACTATTTGCCCAGCTGGCCTTGACCCATGATCCTCTGATCTCAGCCTTCCAAATAGCTAGAATTACAAGTGTAAGCCACCAGCCCTTGGCAAAGTATATATTTTTAAAGATTGAAAATAAAAGAGCTAACCTTTAAGTTTAAAAGATTTTAAAAAAAGAACAGAAAAAAACATGAATAGAGTAGGCCAGAAATAATAAAGAATAAAAATCAATAAACTATCAAAACAACAAGAGGATTAATGTTTCTGCTTAACATGCACTTTTAACATGTACAACTATTTACTGTAGAAAATTTAGAAAATAAGGCCAAGAAAAAAAAATAATTATCTTGAGTTTTTAACAAAACAGTTCTCATTTTTCACTCATTGCTACCTTTCTCTCTATAGTGGACTTACTTCTACTAGAGGTTGCACCTAGAGACAAACTGAAGTGATTCTCCTCAATCTGCCCTCTTCTAACTCTAATGGTTCTCAGTCATCTGCTCTTTGCCAGCTAAGTCTTCACCAGGAGAGCTTCACTGGGCCTAGTTCTTTCTTAACTGACAAATGGACTTCTGGAAGTCTGCCTCATTGAATCTTTACAGAGGATCCTGGCAGGTCTGAATTCCTCTTAGACACAGCTGGGAGCACTGCTCCATGTATAGTAGTGGGAGACTGTAAATCTGAAATGTCCAACAGTAGGGATTCATGATATACTTTATGGTACATCCATTACAGAGAAATAATGGTGCATTATAATTTGAATAGGTAATGACTTAGAAGGAAATGTTCAGAATATTTTGTTTAAGTAGTTTTAAATAGTAGACATAGTGTGATTATATGTACATATTGTATATTTATATAAGTAGCTCTACATGTTAATGATTACTTCTCAGTGATGGATTGCAGGTAATTTTTATTTTATTTTTACTTCTTATTTTTCTCTTTCCTCTTTTCCTTTCTTCCTCCCTCCCTTCTTCTCCTCTCATTTTTCCTTTCTTCTTATTGTACTAGGGATTGAACCCAGGGCTCTGTGCATGCAAGGCAAGTGCTCTACTCCAGCATATTTGTTTTCTTTTCTTTTTTTTTTGGTGGTGGTAGTACGGGGGCTTGAACTCAGGGCCTTGGGCTTGCTAGGCAGACACTACCATGAGCCAGGCCACCAGCTCATTTTGCTTTAGTTTTTTTTGTTTTTTGTTTTTGTGGCACTTGGGGCTTGAACGAAGGAAATCATGCTAGGCAGGCACTCTACCACTTGAGCCACTCCTCCAGCCCTTAGCTATTTTTTGGAATAGGGTCTTACTTTAGGCCTGGCTGGCCTGGAATGCAATCCCCCTATTTACACTTCCCACTATAGCTAGATGACAATAACAGGTGAATATCACTATGGTCAGCTTTTTATTGGTTGAGATGGAGGCGTCTTGAACTTTTTGTCCCAATTGGCCTTGAATCACAATCTTCCCACTCTCTGCCTCCCAAGTAGGTAGAATTATAGGCGTGAGCCACAACAAGCAGCCTCCAGCCCTTTTAAAAAATTTTTATTTTAAGACAGGGTCTTACAAAGTTGGACAGGCTGGCTTCAAACTTGCAACCCTTCTATTTCAACCTCCTGAGTAGCTAGAATCATCCCTGTATGGTATTTTTATTTTCTTAATGATTTTACATATTTCTAGATTTTCTACAATGAGCAAGCATCATTAACTTTAAAGACAATTTACAATCAGAAAAAAAATGGTCAAAGGTTTTGAAAATCTGTGCCTCCCAAGTTCCAGTTAGCCTAGTCCTCACACTCAGGGGCAGATGCTTGGCCCCTGTGGAAGGTCTTTGGTGAGGGCCTCTGCAAAGGCAGGGCTTTGGGGAGCCAGGGAACCTGGGGCCCAGATCTGAATGGAGGTGTCTAGGAATCCACAATCCTCACCTTGGCCTGTACCACTTCTTCACTGGTGAGCACAAAAAGGACATCCTTGGTACATAGCAGAGACCAGGGCAGGTCCAGGAGGGAGAGATACTTACGCAGCACGTTCACAGACTGAAGCGTGAGCACGGAACACCCTGGGAGGGGAGGGCATGGGGAGATGTAAATAGTTTTGTTACTCCCGACCAGATGTTCCCATGAACACCTTCCCTCTTCCAGGTGGCTGAGGGTAGGGCAGGCCAGTTGCTGCTGAGCTGCAGGGAGCCTTATAGAACCAAAGCTGCTCTTTGTCCAGCATTCTCCCATATAGGAAGAGTGAAAGGACCACAGAAGACCTTGCTGGCCACCTTCCACCCCACTATGTATCCTAGCAAGAAGGAGTGGGCTGCTAGAGGTTGGAATCTGGCGACCTCAAGGCCAACAGAAGGCCATGGAGACTGAATTTCTGTTTGGCAGGCCAAAGACCTGTTTCTAGCTCTATCACTGAAAAACTGACTAATGTGGCAAAGTCTCTTAACTGCTCTGGATCTCAGTTTCTTAATGGAAAAGTAGTGTTGATAGTGTGGGACCTGCCCTCTTACAAGGCTGATATAAGAATCAAATGGACCATAGCCAGGTTCCAAAGATCTCACAGCTTGGTAAACTTGGTAAGTCCATGCAGAAAGGGCATACACTACTTGTGTTTCCATTGGTTGAATCTTCATATTGCCCCTGTAAGGCAGGACAGAAACTGGCTCAGAGAGTTTAAGCAGGGAGTCATTTGATAAATGGCCAATAGGGTCAAATACTTTCCCATGGGTAGGAAGAGTTCTTTTCTTCAGCAGATTAGTACATTAGACACCTGTCAGGCACGTAGAACCTGGCTAATTCATTGAGGGATGGGATGGAAGTTTGTATGGACAGACTGACAGAATACCAGAGGTGGAAAAGACCTATTCACCCTGTGAGAAAACTAGACAGGTGGGGCAAGCCTGGCCTCTCCACACATCAGAATCAGCCAATGAATATGACCTGACAGGCACTCAGCGCTGAGTCAGGAATGTGCCCTGTCTTCCAGTCCTTGCCTCTGCTTTGTTCTCTGTGTACAAGTATCATTCAATATCCAAGGAGGATTGTTCCAGGACCCCCACAAATACCCAAACCCATGAATGTTCAAGTCTCTCATATAAAATGACACTGTTTGTGTAGAACCTACACATACCCTTCTGTATACTTTAAAACATCTCTTGGTTGCTTATAATACCCAATATAATGCAAACGCTTGTAAATACTTGTCAGACTGTTTAGTTGTTTAGGGACTAATGACAGGAAAAGTTTGTTCGTGTTCAGTACAGATGCCATTTTTCCCGAGTAATTTTGATCTGTGGTTGTTGAATCCACAGATATGGAATTCACAGATATGGAGGACTGACTGTATTCTCAAATTCCCCTCTGATAACTTTCTTAGAGGACAGCCACTAGTGGCTTTTTGAAAAAGCAATGGGCCTTACCTTCAGGGAACTTCCCTTCTAAGTGCAGGGCCCTGGAAGAAAAGGACATGAGAGAGAGGGTAAGATTTGCCTACTCCCTTGTGAAGAGAAGAAACTTCAGAGGAAAGCCTGCAGGGCCCATGGTCCACCCCACAGGTTTCCAGGCAGTCCCCCTTCCTACCTCATCATCTAGTTTCTGGGATCCCACACCTCTGGGCACAGCTGAAGGGACCAGGTAGGCATTGCACCCAAGGCCAGTAATCCAGAGGTTGTCTATGGCTTATGAAATGACCATGTCCAATCTCTGCCCATTACAAATCCTTCTAAGTTATTCTCTTGAAATGGTAATGTGAGATGGTGGCAGAATATTTTAAAATATTAATTTTCTTCCCTGATATTTTCTTTCTGACCTTCCCCACTCCTACCTTCTAATAGAGGCTACCCTGTGCTCACTGCCTTGAGAGGAGGAATGAGGCCAGTTGGACATCAATAAATTCCAGATTGTTTCCCTGCTTTGTTGTTTTGAAGGCTGAGCAACAGAGGAGGACGGGGTAGGTATCCCCTAACTCAACATATAAGAAATATACTCATGAACAGAGAAGTAGAAAGAGAGTTGACGGAACTGACTCCATGGCATGGCCCTGAGAAGTGGAAAACCCTGAAAAAAGGTTCTGGGATCCTGTGACTTGTCTTGTGCCCTGAGCAGAGCCCTGGGATATTCGACTATGAGGTGGATGTCCTAGGAAAGAGGTGAATGTTGAAGGCATATGCCTGGGAATCCCACTCACAGCCTTTGCAGCCATGGAAGAATCTTTTTTTTTGGTGGGACTGGGGTTTGAACTCAGGGCTTCACACTTGCAAAGCAGGTGCTCTACACCACTTGAGCCACACCTCCAGTACATTTTGCTCTGGTTATTTTGGAGATGGGGTCTTGCAAACTATTTGCCCAGGCTGACCCTGAACTGTGATACTCCTGATCTCAGCCTTCTAACTAGGTAGGATTACAGGCATGAGTCCATCCCCAGTGGAAGAATCTTGCTGAGCAGGGCCAGGAAGGGAGCTTTGGGGAAAGGGGTACCCAGGGGCCTTGGGTGGAAAAGAAGCCAGGAAAAGACTGAGAGGTGGCTAGAGAGGCCAAAGCAGGGAAGACCAGCCAGGGCCAGGCAAGTGAAAGCAACATTTTGATTAGTGACAGAGCTAAATACCACAGAAAGGCCAAGACAGATGAGGACTAAAACAAGCCTGATGGATTTAGCAGGTAGGGGGTGACTATGGAGAACAGTTTTAGTAGACAGTGGCTGTATCCATAAGTAGTTTTATTTGAAACACAGTGACTCATGGACTCAGAAGTGTTGAGAGCCTGTGGCACTCCAGCCTCTTCTGAGGCAAATGACCACAGGCATTCTGTCTGCTGAAAGATGGGCCCTCTGGGTTCTCTGCCTGGTATGAAGCCTACCCTGTGTTCCCTATTTCAGTGGTTGCTAGTCAGGGATAGAACCAAGTCCCCTCAAGTGCCCCTGCAAACCTGCCTGGTTTGTTTGCAGTAGACCTGGTCTGATCCTTTTTTTGGTGCAGTATGAATACTTGGTGAAAGGTCACGAGGCCCAGCATGCATAGGGAATGAGGTGAAGCCACTGTTTCCAATCTCTAAATGGTTTGCTGATTACACCAGTCTTGGAGCCCCAAGGCTTGAGAGTAACCACATGGTTACTATGGCTGTCTCACTTTTTCATGTATCCTCACAAAAAACTGCATCTTTGACTATAGCTGGGATGTGTCTTTCCTGAATCTGAAAGGACCTAATACAACTAACAACACATCTCCACACCTGTGGTCTCTGGCTGGATCAGAAAGTGAACAATCTCTACAGGAGAAGATCAGTCTGGTCTCCCCTCATTCTACAGTCAAGGAATCAGGGCAAGCTGTCTGGAATGAATATACGGGCAATAATTTCCCGCATCTTTCACTAAATGATGTACAATTTTAGAACAAGAGTGGAGAGTGGAGGGTCCTCAAGTTGGATCTGCCTTCACGTGAATCTAATGGAAGAAGGATTGGAGAAGTAGGAGTCCTGGATTCCGGTTCTGTCTCTGCCACTGTTGAGTCTTGTAGTGCCAGGAAAACCCTCATGGCCTCAGTCAATCAAATGAAGTAGTTGGACTTAATGACTGGTGAGGTCATTTCCAACATGACAGATTTCATGCTTCAGCCTGAGATTGTTGAACATCTTTAGGTTATAAAATAAGTCCTTTCAGGACATTTTCCTTCTTCAGTAACCAGGACAGGTCCAGCACACTACTGATTCACTGAAGAATTTTGCTAGCAAACAGGAAATACGTTGTGTTTGCATGACCCTAAGTTAGTCAACATCTTTGAGGTTCCATTTTTGTTTTACTGGTAAAATGAAGATAGATATTAGTAAAATAAGGTGGCTGTGAAAGGCAAATGGGATCATCCATCATTCATTTAGACAGGGCCTTGCTATGTAGGCCAGGCTGGCCTGAAATTTGCAACTCTTATACGTGAGCCCCACACACCTGTACAACAACTGGGAGTTCATATTATATATGCATATCCTCCATCTTCAAAGAAAGACTGGAGATAGTGTACAAAATCCGTAATTGAAGATAACAAAATAAGTGAAAGTAAGGGGAGGAAGAAGATGAAGCTGGGGTATACTGATCCACAGAACTCATTCCTTGAAGTCTTGTTACAAGGGCTGCCAGTTTGGCCTAAAAGCTCTCTCTGGCCAAAGTAAAGAGAGAAATAAAATGAGTTACTTCATTTACAGAACTCAGGGAATAAAAATAAAGTCCAACTGGTTAGGAGATGAGCATTCCTATAAAGACTTGTTAAGAGATTTCTCCTAGAGAGGATGTCGTGAGCAACATGGACAACAGAGCCATTTGGTAATGCACTAACAAGTTTTCTGGGGCTCAGATAACCAGGGAAAAGTGCTTTAGTAACTGTGACCCCTGAGCAAATGGACAGGCCCCTCCCCACCTCCTTCACCCAGAGACTCCTACCTCACAGCTGCATACAGAGCAACATGATTGCTGTGACCACTGACGCCCCCTGCATCGAAAGTCACCACCTGCAGAGACAGACAGAACTGTCTGAATGCTTTCTCTACTGCCTCACCTTCAAAGTAGCTGTCGTCATTGCCTTGGGAAGGAAAGGAAAGAGCAGAACCTGAAGCTTTCAAATTCTAAGAACAGCAGAACTGACTTCTTAGCATAGTGTGTAACTATGGATTTGGCCAATTGTAACGTGAAGACTGTTTTCATGGATTTTACTGTTTACTCTTGTTCGTGGCCACTGGAGCAGAGTGGAATTCAGTCATGACAGAAACAGGATCAGAATATCTTTGTTGCTTATCTGCCTGACCATGTTCAGCAGATTTACTTTTCCTGGCTGGGTGTTGGGGGAACTTTTCTCAGGCAGGCACTGCCTGATTTGTTGGGGCTTTTTTCCTCATGACATACCGTGGGCACTAAAGCTTTGAGGGGCAGTGTCCAACATGCCCTGGTCTGAGTTCATGGAACTCTAGACCGCCTCTGCTTCCATTTTCATAGGGATGGCCACATCTGTTTACTAACTACAAATTCAGTCTAGGTTCCAACATTTCATTTCTGCATAGATGTATTAAAAAAAAATCAAAGGATAGTTTGAATAATAACAAAAAGTATAGTCTGAATAATAAAAGAAATATAAGAAAGAAAACAAGGACACAGGAAAGGGAATAGGATGGTTGGGTAAGGGGGTAATGAAAAGAGGTGGGCTGTCTCTAAAGAAAGAAGGTGCTGCAGCAGGGATGAAGGGACTTGGAACTGGGATTGGAATAGGCTGAGAAGGGATTCACTTCTTGATCTTTCTATTCTAAAATGCAAAACATGTTTGCCTGGCCTTTGAGAGAGTCGGGATCCATTCTTTGGGAACACCATGAAGAGTTAGCACCAATTCAGGTGAGTGTAAGATGGTTCCTTAAAGTCAGAGAAGAGTGTTGCCATGGAAATTAAAACTGAGAAGCTTTCCGACAGAACCCTGTTCCCCTTCCTTCTGTCTCATGCCATTATTGCAAAGTTTTCCTGTCCAGTACTCTGCAAAGGAAGGTTTTCCCAGGGTGAGGAGATCAAAACTGAGCCTTAGTATTAGAAGCTCGGGTTTCTGTCTCCTCCAGTCACCACCAGCCAGTACCTGAATTATCACTCTGAAAATCTCAGTGTAAAATTCAGGTCTGAGTTAAAAGACAAGTTAGCCTTAGAATGTTTATCAGTCTCTTACATATTGGTGTGACTGCAGAGTATGGTTTCTTCTAGGTTGGTCATCCCCCAAGTATGTCCTATTCCCTGGAGCCTGTAGATGTTACCTCATGTGGCAAAAGGGACTTTGCAAATGTGATTAAATTAAGGATTTTGTGATCATGAGATTATTCTGGATTAGCTGATAGGTCCAAATGTAATCTCAATGGTTTTTATAAGAGACACAGGAGAGTCAGAGTCAGAGAAAAAGGCCATGTGACATCAGAAGCAGAAATTGGTGTCATAGGCTTTGAAGATGGAGGAAGGGTCATTAGCTAGGGAATACTCTGGCCATGAGAAGCTGAAAATGACAAGGAGATGATTTTCTCCTTAGAGACTTCCACAGGAACCAGCCTTACCACCTTGACTTAAGCTCAGCGAAACTTGACTTTTGGACTTATGACCTCCAGAATAGTAAAACAATAAATTTGTGTTGTTCTAAGCCACTAAATTTGTGGTAATTTGTTACAACAGCCATAGGAAGCTAATACAAGGAGAAAAATATGTGGAGGGACAGCTTGGTACATAATGCTATTTACATATTGTTCTACGATTAGTCATCCTCCTGCTGACAACACAGTGTTCAATACCCGATTTCTTTCTTCCCTCCTCTCCTCCCTTTCCCCTCCTTCCTTCTCTCTCTCTCTCTCTCTCATTGGGGCTTGAACTCAGGGCTTTGTGCATGCTAAGCAAGAGCTTTACCCGAGCTACACTCCAGCCCAACACCCATTTCTGTTTTCTTCAACAGATCTATAGCTCTGAATATTCCTCTACTTGTTCTAAAGTCACATGTATGAATACAAAGGCATATTTGTTTAAATACATCCATTTTACAATCTGATAGTCCCACCTAGGCTTAATCCTATCACCCTTCTTCCTTTTGGAGTCCAGGCCAACCCACCTTACAATCAACTCCTGGCCTTTTGAAGACTCTGCCAGTAGGAATAATGATACTTAATGTATTGTATGTAGTGTGTTATCTTTGGCAGAACTTCCTCGCACTCATTATACCATTTGATTCTTAAAATGATCCTATGCACTAGGAACCTAAAACTGCTTTACAAATAGTCTTTTCTTTCTTTCTTTTTTAAAGTCATGTAACTCAAATACCTGATTCTGACCCTGGTTCTTCCATGCAAGAAAACCAAGGGAGACTCAAGCCTAGTTTTCTCTGACACTAGTTATCTGCAGTGCCTTCGGCAAGTCACAGAACTGTAGTATCAGAAGTTATTTCACCTTGAAATGTCCTGGCTTCCTCATGTGTGAAATCAGGAAAGTAATATCTGCTCTACTTTCCTTGATGCATTGAGGTGAAGATAAAACCACATGAAAGTGTTTAAAAGCGCTAGAATGTCTAAACTCCAAGTCTGTTCTATCAGATAGAGTTGGTAGCTCAGGGGCTAGATCAGTATCAGAAGGGATGCTGGAGGGCATTCCCTTGTTAGGGGATTGGGGCCATGTGGTATTCAAGTCAGTTGGTTTTGAAATTCTCCAAGCTCTTTGCTTAGTCCTTCTCCTATATCATCTTACACTCTCCCTTTTTCTTTCTGTTTCAAGCAGGGTTGAGCAGAATGTATCCAGCTCCCTGGGCCTTTGCAGATTTGTCCATGGCAATCATGGCACCTGTAGTTCTGACAGAATTCCTTCCACTTTCCTTTTTTTTTCTAGTTTCTTCTTCAAACAACATCTTGTCTGGATCCCAAGGAATAAAAGGCAAAACAATGGGGCTCTCTGATTTCTAAGATATTGATTCTCACCTGGGGGTGGTTTTGCCCACAGACATTTGGCAATGTCTAAAGACTTATTGTGAAAACTAAGGAGTTGGGGGTTGCTACAGTAAATTTCCTACAAGGTACAGGACAACCCCCATGACAAAGGATTATCCAGCCCCAAATGTCAGTGGTGCCACAATCGAGACATATGCTCTAAGGGATCAGGAACTAGGTGTGTTTGGCTTGCTGCTGTATTTCCAGTTTCCACACATAGTAAAATGTCCCAGATCAGGTACTCAGTAGACAGGTATTGACTGAAAGGCTGAGGCAGGGATTGGGATCCAGGTTCTAGCCTGACTGATATCAGGTGAAGATACTACCAACCCCCTACCTTCCTGCCTTCCTGTGGAGGGCAGCTTTGTCCTTCCAAAGCCCTGACCTGTCAGCCACTCCTTGTGGTTCTCATGATGCTCCTGCAGTGAGTAGGGCAGACAGCTTGCAAGAATACTGCAGACATGGGACCAGATGGACCCAGTTTCCTCACTTGATGCTGATGGCTTCACTTTTGCTGGGGAAGTGCTTTTGGTTTCATCTTGGCATGGCCTAGCTCCTGGCTCCCAGCTTCTGTCTATATTTCCTTGTTGGTGCTTCGCTGTCTTCATTGTGCAGTGGGTGCTTCTGGTCTGAAAGGGACTCCCATTATTTATGCACTCAGCTTAGTACCAGGATACTGTCTTTGAGTGACTCCTTACCTGCCTAGTACTAACCCTCATCCCTGGCCCTGCAGGGACTGTGGGACTATGTAACTGTGACACAGGAAGCTGAACAGACGTACCATTACACTGTGGCGCTAAGCTAACACACTTAGGTTGGTTATGGCCAGTATGGCCAAGCTGCTACATGCTAGTATAATGTTACACTTCTACCCTGCCAGTTAAATGCAGGCTAGGAAAAGCATTCCCAATTGCACTGTGCTAACTTGAATCTTCTGATTAATAGCAGGGTAGTTACAAATAATTTATTAATGAACAGCTGTCTTAAGTTATTTTCCTTGTTATCAGCAATTAAATCAATACAAAGATTCTCCTGATAATAAAGACCCTTTCACTCACTTGAATGAATGTGAAACCCCTCCACACTCCAGGAAGACCTCTAGGGAGGAGTGGCAGTTAATAGTTGTGGCAGTTTTGTGAGGAACACTCTTGGGGTGCCTGTTCTAGTTTTTGGAGATGTAAAATGCCAGGCACAATCCTGGCTATCATGGACTTTATGGTATACTTTGCAAGACATGGTCTATACCCAAAAAAGTAAATAGCAACACACTCTACAAGCATAGATCACCCAGCAAATACTGTGGAAATCCCAAAAAAGGCTGAGTAAATCAGGAGAGGCTTCTTGAGAAGGGGGTCTTGAGATAGGCCTGGACCACAAATAACTTTTCTGGGACTCAAATGTGGAAGACTCTTCCGAAAGTAAGAGGCTTGCAGGTGTCTGTACCCTGAAGCTCCTCCCCCAGATGCTCAGCTGCAATGTGGTCTGAAAAATAAACCCAGCTCCTCAACAAGGACCAACTCTTTTCACTAGTGCTCCAGGACTTAATTATGGGACAGATCAAGAAACGAATTGAGTTCCAAGTTTCAAAAGATGAGTTGATCCTATAAGCTGGAGTGACCAGAAAGGTCAACAGTTATAATGCACTAAAGCAGAGGAGGGGAGTATTTGGGGACTGTCCCGCAGAAGCCACTACCATGGGAAAACAGGGTGTCAAGGTGGACTTTAAGCTGGCTCTAAAGGCCAACTCTGTTGACATACCTAAGCTATGGGACCCTGAGAGGTTTCAACAGTGGAGGCTGGGGTAAGGTGGATAAGAGAACCGGGGCCAGCCCCAGCCAGCAGGGCTGGGCATTTGACTCCTAAACTCATGAATCTACCTATGGCTTTTATGCTTAGGCCCTCTGGGAAGGGAAAGTGGGGATGTGTGGGCCTGCAAATTGCTGATGTTCATTTTTACAGCCAGGAAAAAAACTAAAATCAACACAAAAATCAAGATGGAGGACAAGAGTACAGGCAGGGCCACGGCTGTTGCAGCCTACCTGGATCTCAGTCTTTATTGTGATTCAGAGCAAGCCAGAGGAGTACCTTTCTGTCTGTATGTATTAAACTTCACTTGTCATTAGGAAGCAAAAGCAGTCTAATTAATATACTAGGGAAAATCCTCTCAAGAAAAGTCTAATAAATCACTTCACTCAGTTAGTTCATCATTGACTAAAGCCTCATATGCTTCTCTGCCAATATATTTTATTTACTTATTTATTTATTTTTACTACTGGGGTTTGAACTCAGGGCCTATACCTTGAGTCACTCCACCAGCCCTGTTTTGCTTTGGGTATTTTTGAGATAGGGTCTCTCAAACTATTTGCCCAGGCTGATTTTGAACCTTGATCATCCTGATCTCTGCCTCCTGAGTAAGCTAGGATTACAGGCAGTAGACATCAGTGCCTGGCAGGATCCACCTTTTAATGAGGATTAACTAAAACTTAAATGAAATGAGAAAGGCTTTCAATGGCACAATTTTAGGTATTAATCTGTGAATGATTTTTATTTTTATTTTGTTTATTTTTGAAATTGAGACAGTAAGCCTTCTTGGTTGCTTTAAAATTGACCATGGGCTAAATACAGACCTGCCAATCCTAGTAGAGCTGAGATAGGTGTTGCTAGACTTGTCTACCTTTTCAAGTAAATGGGAATCTCCACTACTGCTCTAACTATGACTGAAACTTTCTTCCTAAAGTGGGTATAAATTTATCCTCATCTTTTTTAGGAGTGAGAAATTGAGGTTGAAATCTTAGTTTCAGAGTTGGGGTGCAGCTCACTCAGTAGTATGCCATGTCCTTAGCATATACAAGATTGTGGTGTGATCCCCAAGATTAAAAAAAAAAAAAAAAAAGAGCCGGGTGCCAGTGGCTCACACCTGTAATCCTAGCTACTCAGGAGGGCAGAGATCAGGAGGATTGTGGTTCGAAGCCAGCCCAGACAAATAGTTCACTAGACCTTATCTTGAAAATACTCATCACGAAAAGGGCTGGCAGAGTGGCTCAAGGTGAAGGCCCTGAGTTCAAGCCCAGTACTGCAAAATAAAAGAAAAAGAAAATATCTAGAAACCTCCACTTCACATGAGGCCCTAAGTTCAAACTCCAGTTTGAACACCAAACTGGACACCAAAAAAGGGTAAAGAAAGCTCCACTTCCTCAATGTTAAATTAGAATGATAGCATAGCATGTACCTCTAAAGTAAAAACAGTACTCTAAATGTGAAGTTCCTTGGTACAAGGTGAAATTCTGTACCAATTGAGAGTCATGGGGCAGGGGACCTGAATTTTCAGGACATAAGACAGGTGGGGAGGGAGGTCACAGCTTGGAAGAAACTTCTGCCTCCACCTGAGTGGTGATAATTCAGTTACTGGGTCTCACAGATCAAAAGAAATACATTGTATTTCTTTTAGAAAAAAAGATTGGGGCATGGCTGGATACATCTGAAAGGTATATTTCTTCCTAGGTAGGTTCTGTAGAAGCAATGGAGGTTTGGCCTCTTTATGGAGTGGCCCTAGAGCAAGACTGGAAGGAAAAGGCTGCCCCAGGACAAGTTACAGAAACCAACAGATGTGACAGGACAGACACCCTGGACTTCCCATTTGGGAGGTGATCCCTTACCAGGTTGATATCATTGACTTCTATGTGCTGGAGGAGAACGCTGGCCACAAGCTCTGTGTCCCACTGCACTCCTGGGTTATCTGGGAAATCCCTGTAAAGTGAGAAGCATGACGTGAACACTTCTAATCAGACACGACCTTCTCCCGAAGGTCCAGTGACTGTGCTATTGTGAGAGCTATTATGTTGGAGTTTGGGGGGTGGGTTCCCTATCCTTAAGGTACTCAAATATCAGTTTGAGATAAGATTTATAAGCTGGGCAGCTCATGCCTGTAACTCTAGCTACTCAGGAGGCAGAGATCAGGAGGATTAGTTAGAAGTCCAATCTGGGCAAATAGTTTGAAAGATCTCAAAAAACCCATCACAAAAAGGCTGGCAGAATGGCACTTGCCTAGTAAGCAAGAGGCTGTGAGTTCAAACCCCAGTACTGACAGAAAAAAAAAAAAAGATTTGTAAACATGAAACAACTAGAAATCAATGCATAACTCCATACAACACTTTCAGAGCTTTGTGTTTATTGCTGAGGAGAAGAAACTGTATCAGCAAGACAGGCTCTGGCTGCATGTTAAGAAGACAAATGTGTTAGTAATGAACTTGAACACAAGGCAGGGAGGAATGCATTTTATAAGAATAATAGTTGCCCGGACATGGTGGTGCATGCCTGTAATCCCAGCTACTTGGAGGTAGAGATAGGAGAATTGTGGTCCGAGGTCAGTATGAGACCCTATCTGAAAAAATAAAACTAAAAACAAAAGAACTAGGGTGCAGCTCAAGTGGTAGAGTGCTTTCATAAAGCCCTGAGTTATCTCCCCGTTACTGCAAGAAAAAAAGAAAAATATTAATAGTTCTTTGATCAAAAGTACAAAGGGCTATTATTTTGTTAAACCTCACAGACATTCTTTGGAAGGATGAAGGTAAGTAGTTTGCTTGCAAGGTGCTTACAGGTGAATTTGAACCCAAGTTTCCTAACTGTAATGCAAGATCTCAGAACCAGGAATGGGACCTACCACATCCTGGGACCAGCTCTTTGCCAGAATACTCTGCAACTTATCTGTGTTTCCACCTGGCCTCACCTCTCTCCTCCCACCTGCTGAAATCCTTACTGTCCCTTTTTTAATGTATGGCTCTGATATAAGACCAAGACCACAGTTTGGCCCATTTCTCATTATTCGTAGTCTTATAAACAGATTCCTATCTCTTTGGCTCTGATCCTGCAGCAATACCCATAATGCTACTGAGTGGACATGGCTCTCTCTGCTCCCTACTGGGCAGATTGCTATATAACCTTTCTATGGACAAGGGACACTAATTGACATTAGGACTTTGAGTAAAGGAGAGTCATTGAGGTTTTTCAGCAGGAAAACTACATGAACCTCAGCACTAAGTAATGTCATTTTTTCCTTTGCCTCATTGGCTTCCAAACACTCAAGGTGCTTTCTGTAGAGGGCAGCTTTGTACTTTTCAAAGCCCTGGTCTGCCAACTACTCCATGTGGCTCTCAGGATGCTCCTGCAGTGAGTGGGGCAGACAGCTCCTGCAGATGGAGCAGGACTACGGAGAATGTAGTCCAGCCTTGTTCTCTGGAAACAGAGCAGCATGTGAAATATCAAACATGACCCATGAAGCTCAGACAGCAAAGGAGAAAGAAATACAACTACACATGTTCCTGGCTAGGAGAGACAGGAAACATTACCAAGGCATCATTTTGGAAACTGAATACACGAGTAATATTATCTTGGAACTTTAGCACACGAGATGAAGAAACAGCCTAAGAGAAAGGGTAGGAGAGCAGCTGGCTAAGCCTACTCTACTCATTCTCACTTGTAAGAAATGAATCCTGAAGAACGAAAAGCTCATGCCTGCCCCACTCTCTTCAGAAGACTTGGATCTGCTTGCTATTCCAGGGAAACTCACTTGAAGCCATGCTCACAGCACCAGCCTTGCCCCGCACCTTCTTCTGTGGTTCTGCTCACTGATGGTGGGGGATTCTGGACTGCCAATATCAGCTCTGGGATATGACGCATCTGATATGGTGGCACTGCTTTTGTGATCAACTCCAAACTCCTTTTGTCAGGCATTCAACACCTCCCCCCACACCCCCAGCCTATCTCCCTTTCCATCGCTTCATTTCTCTTTGAGTGAGCAGTTTGGATAAAACATGTGAGAAAGCATTTAAAAACTGTAAGGAGATATGCAGATTTCAAAACAGTGCCCATCATTGCTGCACTAACTTAATTGAGCCCCATAAAAAAAAGCAAAGAAAGAATTCATCCTTTCTTTGTTGCTGTAAGTCTCTTGCAGAGTTCTTGGCTCTATCAGATAAGCCACTGAAGTAAAGCAGGAAACCACTAGAATTCCTATTTATGTGTGTTTCTAGTTGCTTGAATTTCTTTTTCCTTCTTTTGGCGGCACTAGGGTTTGAACTCAGGGCCTCATACTTGCTAGGCAGGTGCTCTACCATTTGAGCCACCCCACCAGCCCTATTTTTGTGAAGGGTTTTTCGAGATAGTGTCTCATGGAACTATTTGCCCAGGCTGGCTTCGAACCATGATCCTCCTGATCTCTGCCTCCTGAGTAGCTAGGATTATAGATGTGAGTCATCAGTGCCCGGTACACTTAGATTCCCCCTCTCTGACTAATTTTATTTATTTATTTTTAGAGACAGGGTCTCACTATATATTGCCCAGACTGTCCTGAACTCCTAGGCTCAAGTGATCCTCCTGCCTCAGTCTTCCAAGTAGCTGGGACTATAAGTGTGCACTACCACAGCTGGCTGAAATCTTAAGATGTCATAAGCAATTTCTTTTTCTTTCCCTTGCCCCCTTGTTTTATTGAGGGCTAGGGAGAAAGAAGGACCAGTACAAGAGCCTACTTTGAGGTATAAATGACAAATAAAAATTATATATATATATGCATATATATATATTTAAGGTATAAACTGTTTCGATATATAGATTGTGAAGTGATTACCATAATCAGTCTAATTAACATGTTTATCACCTCATCACCTGATACAGGTTTTTTTTGGTGGTTAAGAACACTTAAGACAGAACATTATTTCCTATAGTTATCATACTGTATATTAACACCTATTCATCTTATAAATGAAAGTGTGCACCTTTTGACCAAACCCTTATTTCCCCCACCACATAGCCCTTGGCAACTTCCTTTCTACTCTGTTTGAGTTGGACTTTAGATTCCACATATAGGTGAAGTCATGCAGTATTTGTCTTTCTGGCTTATTTCACTTAGTATTCAGTCATGTTGTCCCAGTGGCAGAAGTTCCTTATTTTTTAGGCACAAATAATATTCCATTTCACCCCCTTACACACACACACACACACACACACACACACACACACACACACACTTCCTTTATTCATTCATCCACTGATGGACACTTAGGGTTTTTTTTGGCAGTACCGGGGTTTGAATTTAGAGCCTTACACTTGTAAGGCAAGCACTTTGCCACTTGCGCCACGCCTCTATCCCTGGCTGAGGCTGTGAATAGTACTGCAATAAACATGGAGTACAGCTATCTCTTCAAGATTTTATTTCCTTTGAACATATACACTGAAGTGGGATTGCTGGATCACATAGTAGTTCTATTTTTTAGTTTTTTGAGGAATTTTTCTATAATGGTTGTACCAATTTACAGCCCTACCAACACTGTACAAGGGTTCCTTTTTCTCTACGTCTTTATCAACACTTGTTATTATTTGACTTTTTGACTACAGCTGCCTTTTTTTTTTTTTGGCGGCACTGGTGTTTGAACTCAGGGCCTTGTGCTTGTTGGGCACTCTACCACTTGATCCACTCAGCCAGTCCTAGATAACGGCCATCTGAACAGATGAGAGGTGATGGCACAGCGTGGTTTTGATGTGCATTTCCCTTCGCTTAGTTTTTAATCAGGTGATTTGTGTTTTGCTATTATATATATATTTTTTATCTGTTTGGATATCACCTACTAGATAAAAGGTTTACAATATTTTTTCCCATTGTGTAGCTTACCTTTGTACGTGTTGATGGTGTCTTTGCTGTACAGAGCTTTTTACTAATCCCACTTGTTTATTTTTGCTTTGGTTGTCTGCTTTTTTGGGGTCATTCACAAAATCATTGCCAAGATCAGCATCAAGGATCTTTCCTCCTGTTTCCTTTCAGGAGTTTTACAGATTCAGGTCTTAAGCTACATCCCCGACCCTGCAATCAGTTTCCAAGTCACTTTAAAGTATTGGTTATAGAGTTGTGGTGTTCAGAGACTTTGTTTTTTGGTGATACTGGGGTTTAAACTCAAGAGTCTTGTGGTTGCTAGGCAAGTGCTCTGTTACTGAGCCAAACCCCCAGCCCTTTCTGATTTAGTTATTTTTTGAATAGGTTCTGTACCATGATCCTTCTACTTATACTATACACACAGTTGGGATGACAGGTGTATGCCTGTTACAAGCAGCTTTTTATTGATTGAGATGGGGTCTTGAAAAGTTTTTGCCTGGGCTGGCCTTGAACTGCAATCCTCCTGATCTCCACTTGCCAAACAGTTTTCCCAAGTAGGATTATAGGCGGGATGTTCAGAGTTTTTATTGGGGTGCACTCTGTAGGCATCATTGATTACCCATGGCTGAGCTCAGTCTCCATGAAGACTGATAATACATGGCCTGAAGTCTCCAACAAAGACAATGCTACCAGATATGACACAAATCATCTAGAAGCCATGGGCAAAGGTCAGAACTCTCTTAGAAGGCCAACTTCTTTACTACATGCCTTCATTGCACTTAAGACTCTTCACTGAACTACAGCCAACTGTGGCCTAGACCACTCCACTCAGCACTTAATTAGATATAGTATTCTGTTCTTTTCTGTTGTTTTGTGTGTCTTTACCTACAGTCAACTTTGAGAAATATCAGAAATATTTCTCATATACTTGGCGCAATTCAAGTCAAAAGATAATTTATTTAAATAAACAATAATTAACTGTGTTTCTACCATATGTAAGGCATGTTACTGCTTTCTTTCTTTCTTTTTTTTTTTAAATAAGTACTAGTGGGTTGATAGAAGTAGAAGTAGCCTCTACCTGGCTGAGCCAAAGCCAAAGTAGTTA